ACCAATATTTTTATCGAATAAAATAGAAAATAGCGGATTTTTTTTATAGTCAACGTTAATAATTTTTAATGGCGCATGTTGTATCGAGATATATAAAAATAACAATTTTTTCTATTTTATATCGGCACCATCTACTGTTTGTTAAAATGTTGGTAAACTTGATACGGCGCGATGAATTTATTAAATTAATTATTGAGGGGGAAGCAGAAGAAAAAAAGAAGAGGGGAAGACCAAGGCACAGTTACATAATGCAAATTAAAGAAAATTGGAGTCGTGTGATTAACATTTAAAGAGGATGATGGAAGATTATGGGAAGTGGCAAGAGCTCCAAGACATGTGCATAGCTCTTAAATTATGAATGAATGAGCTATCTACAATTCTACAGATCTTTAGTAAATATATAATTAAGAACTTTCAATTGCGGTAACTTATCTGCTTTTTTAATAGAGATATAACAAATGCAGTTCGTCCATTGATATCATCTATAATAACGTCTTTCATTTAGATCCATTCAGCAGTTTAGACATGAAAAGGTATCAAATAAACAGACAGATGAGCATACTTTCGCATTTAGAATATTAGTGAAGACTATAAGAATTTAGTTTGATCTGAACTGAACTAGACGGATGGATGGTCACAAAAAAATTATATATTAATTTAGGACATATTATGTTAAATATAAATATATCCTATCTACTGAAATTTGCTGTAGTCAAATAAAAACACAATTTCATAGATAACCTATTCAAAGTCGGTTGAAAATATGAACAATTCAAACAAGAATGTACCGAGAGTTATTATGACCTAAGAAAGGTATTATGCCGTAACCAAATTGGTATGATTAACCTTAGAGATAAATGTAATTGGATAGTCGGCGGTTAGCTAAACTAATCCTCTCAGTAACCCATACAATATCATAATTCAGAATATACAATGGGTTCGGAATATCATAAACATTGTATAGATAACACTATATTATTAATAGTAGTAATAAACATTACCTATATTTTTATTTTGAATTTTTCGCCGTTGTCTACAATTGTAATAATAATAATGACCCTTTATCAAATAATTTTTACAAAATACATTTATTCATGTAGTACATTTTAGCCGCTTATGAACGTCTGAAGTTTTTGTGTTAACTTTTTTCCTACCGATTTTTCTTTAAAATTCTATTAAAAAGAAAATTATACATATCGCTTAATTAGGATATTTACCGTAATATTATTTATGATGTTCTGATATTTTAAGGTCACAAGTTTGATTTGTATAACACTCTTCCTTAACACAAAATAAATCAACATAATTTTTGGTCCTTTGAGCCTGACTACTGTAACATATATATTTAGTAACACACAAATTTTCAAAAAATCTATAATTTCTGTTTTATTTTACTATTGTTATTCTTCTTAAAAATAGTTTTTGTTCTAAAAATGACCAAATTTTCTTGTAAGATAGAAAATATTAAACTACAGTCCACCTAGATAACTCGTTAAAAGTTAGGACGCTTGTGTGAACGTTGAAATATCGAGGAGCTATCCCGTTTAAATAATTTATACAATATTTTATTCTCTTTAGACAGAAGTCAGAACTGATTTTGAAGTTACTCCAATTTTTGATATTTTTTTTTTACAACAAAAATACATTTAAATTGAGAATATATCCGTTATTTAAATTGATCAGTCTTATTAGCTTATCACCTATACCTACTATAATTATAAGCCTATAAAAGGGGTTTGCATCATTCAAAATCCAACTTTCACAAAAGTAGTAGTCTTTTACTTTTAAACAAATATCTGAAATAAATTCTATAAATCTCCCACCATGCCTTCCCAGGCTGAGATTTTTGTCATTGTTTTTAGCATCATCCAGATTCAAACTCGACGACCTTTGAAACTACCAACCAAAGTAGTGTATAGGCGACGATTATGCAACAAATAAATTACTAATATCCAATTCAAATGACAAACTATAGTTAAACTTTGTAGTAGATTCTAGAATGCTATTTCTATTGAATAAATATTCAACAATTTAATACTAGGATTACGAGTTGAACTATGGGCCTATACCTTCTTCAAAATAACAATGCTGTTATTAATTTTGAATTAGTATGATAACTGAATAGCAGTAAGTGAATATTGCATTAAAATAGTTGAATGGGTACTAATAATAATTAGAGCTTTGGCTCAATTTCCATTTATATTAATGTTGAAGCCTTCATCTTTGTGTTTTGTACTATGATCTTCTAATTGCGAGTACGAACATAGACTGTATTTTATTAAAAAAAATAGACAATGTCACATCTAAGAGCAAGACTACAATAATGTTACAAATTAAGTTTCTATAACATACATTAAGAAATAATACTAAATCGTAAAGATTTGTTTATTTTAATTTAATTGCAATTCTATGGCAAACAAGCCTACACGATGCTAAACGGTAACTATTGCTTATGTATTATACATGAACAACACTACGGGTATCATGTTATCATGTAACACTCGTGATCCGTTCATGCATTCCAGAGTATTAAGATTATTATAACCAAAACATAGCTTATAAAGCAAGCTGCTACGCGGCTGAAATTTGTAAGACTGAGATACCCACGTAGGCGACTTATTATATCTAGTATTAGGACATCTATTACATATATGATTTAACCCGGCTTATGACGAGAACTAAGAAAAATGAGAGGCTTGGATTCGAGGATCGCTACAGAATTTCCTCATTTCACACATCGTTGGACTTTCCATATTTTAGTTCGACCTGCCCCGACCGTGATATAATGTAGATGAATTTTGATATCCCACTCAATAGTAAGATTTTTACAAGATTTTATTTAACTTATATACATTTCAGTGTCTTATGTAATTGCATATGCCGCATCTCTAACAAAATATATGTTGCAATATTGTGAACTAACCAGGTAGGCTCGAAAAAAGTGCTGTTACTCTTTGCGAGAATGAACTCAATATTTAATCTTCTGTTTATTAATTTCTAAGTTATTAAATAGAATTGTAATTTTGCATGCTTCCTGAATACGAGGCGATCATTTGTACCAAAACACTTGTAAGATCTAAACTTGTAAATGTTCAAGCAAAAAATATCATTTATAAAGTCTTATAAAACTTTAAACGTTCCGAGCATTATCCATTAAATTCATTTGCCTTTTTAATGTACAAATCGAATTTTCCCAACTGCGAAACATGCAACACTGTAGAAGATCTGTATCACATATTAATGGAGTTTTTCCGAGACGCATTTAAAAGGAAATTGTATGTAAAAAAAATTGGATTGTACCGGCTTGATGTTGGTATGTACCACGGTGTATTATCTGATCCTGTATCACCGCCAGCAATTTTTTTTTTTTAATTGTATAGTATTGTAGTAGATAAGATTAGTAATAATATACCACGGGCATATTATTATATGGCACTGGCATTATCATATTATGATAAAAGTCCCTAAATGTAACATTAAAAAAACTCTTATAAACTCTACTATAATCAATTTAATTAATATCATTATAACACTTACGCATAATTGAATTTAAGTATGACAATATAACCGTTCAAGATTTCCATTCGCTTATAAGAAATACTGCTAAGTGCTATATTCTATTGTATGAAACTTTTCCAATTACAAAACTTCACGACTGATGGATGATCCGTTCAGTACTTTTAATATAGGAGAATTCTCAAAACAAGATTGTCGTTAATATTGTACAATTCTTACGTTTGATACAATTTATTTTGCTCTTTATGTAATAACTACCCACTACTTCATACCGGTTTACATGTATTATACATATAAGCCTTCCTCTTTTGTTGCTACAAATATATTAAAATGCGTTGCGTAGTTTAAAAAATCTAAGCGCACAAATAGCGGAAGTCACTTAATTTTATACTATGTAACGATGATAGTAATGATATCTCAAGAGAATTCATACAGCAACATTTATTCCATAGCTAAGCAGATCTTATGTTATGTATACTAGAGAACTGATATAAATACTAATACTAATTATTGATACATAATATAGATATATACTTTTTCATTAATTATTCTATGGACCCCATAAGGGAAATAAGTCGGAAAAATATATTATATTAAATACCGACTGACTGAAAATGACTGCAATCATTCAAAGCAAAACACAGATTGCAGAACAAGCGGCTTGGCAACAAAATGGGTAATACAAACACTCCCACACAGACAACTATGTACAGAATTCCCGCCCAAATAAAAAACATTTATGTAGTAAACAAAATTTATTTATAAAAGACATTCGAAAGAAATAAGGAAAAGTATTTATTAAGTAGTCATACTTAGCTTAAAGAGTTACTTAAGGAAAACAACAGAAAAAATATTGGAATAACGTAGCCGTATTTGTGTTTCTATTAAAAGACTCAATATTTCTTATAATTTTATTATAAAGCATAATAAGCATTTTAAAAATAGAAACAATTTTCTGATTTACTTCTACCAACTGATAGTGTATCTAGATAGCAATATTACATTTATAATTCAAAATTCTATACATCGTTACAAGCTTGAATTTACAAGTTATATCACTAGAACCTACATATGTAGTCTAACTCCTTCATTATTTGTAGTCGGTTAATAATAATAATAATAACCCTGGAGAATGCATACAGCGCCGTCTAGTCCTAAGTTAAGCAGAGCCTGTGTTATGGGTACTAACTAGACAGATAAATCCTTAAATACACTTTTTTTTTTGTAAATACATACAAATATACATAGAAAACATCCAGACCGATAAAAACAATCGTACTCATGAATACAAATATTTGTACTACCCGAGGAATCGAATCTGCGATGCCATCGGTAGTAAGCCGGTGTGCTGAACAGTTAGACTACCGAGGCCGTCAAAAGAAATAAAATACTCTCGTTCACATTGTAATATGTATCCATCAAGTTTTCATGCTTTCATTATGGAAAATAATGTCAAAAGTGAAAAGTCAGAGACGTGACACAAATTGTGACATTATGAGACAATATCAATAATGTAATCTAATGTGAAATAAATTTTATGCAAAGATATGCTTTTAACAGGGTGTGAATTGCGCAATGCTATATTTATTATTCGTTTCGGCAATATTTTTCGACTTTCTGAACGCAGTCTGTAAGTTTATAAATTATATGTTATTCGTACTGAATTTGAGACATATTTTAAGTTATATTTTTTCCTATTTATAGAAAATACAATATACTGTATATTTTACATTGGCTGTGCCCGCGGTTTCCTCTGCATGAAATTTATAGCCTGTGTGTTAATCTGATATATAAGCTATATTATTCTAAAGTTTAATTAAAATACATTTAGTAGTTTTTGCGTGAAAGAGACAACAAACATCCATCTATCTATATCTTATCCTTTCAGTTACATAAAAATGTAAAAAATGTAATATTATTTCCATCATTACAATATCAATATTTCATCCTGTTAATAATTTGATCTACTTTATTTTCGTTTAATATTTATAAATAATTAATACAAGTCGATAAGTATCTAAGTCTCTGTAGAAAGTGTATATTTGAACCTTGTTAAAAGGCTTTTCACTCGACCTGCAGGTTTACGCTTGAATCCAGTTTCAATATTGATTTAAATCCAATCAGGTTTTGTACCGTACTCTTGAAATGCAATCAAGAGTGAACCGAATAAACCGATTGCAATCTTGTTTAGACATATAATACTACATGCGTTTATTTTAGTCAATGACAAGACTATATAATAATATTAGTGGGTGGTCTATGTTACCAATCCATCTATAAAAGGTACCGTTCAAATATACACACTTACGTATTTATAATATCAATATGCATTCACAGCTTTTTATTACTCTCAGTAAAACATCATCTCTTAAACTGGACCTGATTAGTCATCGGGTTCCAAGTAACCTGCGTCATTTGAGACGGCGTATATGCCTAAAGATCATGCAATAAAAACTTATAAATATTACGAACTAATAAATATATTAATTAAAATTTACTATATGGTTAATTTATATATAATCGAAGTAGAACCCAGAGATATACCAGCGAAATCGTTCTACGATCTTCTAAAAGCCTATCCAGAACTGCAATAAGTGCTATGCTAGAACGTCTATCTAAAGATGCACTACCAGGCTCCTATCACTGATCTGATTTGGTTGGGTAGAGAGAGAAAGGAGCGATGAAGATGCATATTAACGTACGTCGGCAAAGTGTCCTTTAAATCTACACCCGAGTCACAAGTCTCGAGACCTGCTCAGAGTTTCCTTCTCTGCCATACGATGGATCGGGCTCCAGCACGATGAAACTATGGAATGCTAAGAAGTTCGTCGCCCGAGGAAAGTCAAGTGATTTTCCAATACATTGGGATATTTACTAATTGTGAATTTAATTTACAATGGCGTTTTCTTTTCGGATATTTACTTTAAAATACAGTAATATACTTAATTGTATACATATTATTCTTTCAGACCTTTTCGATTACGATGACATAACTACAAAAAGAGTTATAGAAGAAATGGAGTTCGAGCCAACGATATCGCTGACAAAAAACAAAGAAAAAGGACTGTCAGTTAAGAATATTAATTGCGATAACTTCTCAAAATACGCGGTAAATTGTACCATTGAAGCTGCACTTTTGTATAATTCAAGTAGAAAAACTCCACCGTTGCCAGCTAAGATTATGGATTGGTGCAGGTAATGTTTTAAGTTTGTTTTTGAAGTGAGCATTTTAAATTAATGCTTTGTCTTCTTATTGTAATGAAGCAAATAGCTCGTACATTTAGGAAGCATCATTCTAAAGGAAAGAAAATAATGCAGTACAATATTTTTTCAATAGATTAAAATATACATATAAGGAAATTTAATATTGCATACAAAAAATCGTGATTTTCTAACACTTTGTGCTTTTTTTTCTTTCTTTCTAAATGAAAGAAGTACTGTATATACTAATAATTATACTGTAAAATAACAGTAGGCTCGCACGATGTCAGCTTGGATTAAAACGGTATCCAGCATAATGTTACCATACTTTCACAGTTCTCAGGTATATCGTTCACCACGACGCCGATACTTTAACAAGGTCTCCTAAGTACCTTGTTCATAAGTATAGCCGTACAAATATTGTTATATTATATAGATTTATTAGTAGACCTGGCCATCGTCATCCTATCGAATTATATTAACTTTATAAATATACAAAACCAAAGTGTTCTAGTAACTTTGGAATATCTACACAAAAATTAATTCAAATAGGTCCAGGTATGTAGTATTGGTAGGAATTTAGTAACAACTATAAGCACACATGTATTATATATGTAATATAGTAATTTAAACTATTTATTGAAGTTTATTTTTGTATCTTCATAATTCAAGACATATGTAATTAAGATAACGTTTTTAAATACACAAAATGAGTGTAAATTGAAGCAAATGAAATGGCAAGTATCGATTGAGCAATGCTCAGTTATCGATTAAATTCTATACTGCGGATATAGCAAAACCTTAAATATAATATACTGCACAAGCCAAATATTACACTACAGGATTGTAACACGAACTGAAACAATTTCCATCACAGCGAATGTTCGTCACCGTTTTTATAACAACGTAGATTGGTACAAGGAAATTCATTTCTGACAACTTTCCCCTCGAGTCGCATCAGAGTTAATCTCATGTACACGGTACGTGTATCGGCTTAAAAAATTCCCGTCATTATTTGGATTTATTCGTCGTTGTGTCTTTGTGGGTATCAACATGATGAAATAATAGTTTTTTTGCACCTTTGCGACTTTTATTCAATTAGGTAGTCCCAGAAGCTTATTTATAGATTGTCGGTAAAATCAACACTTGTTATGTTGTACATTTTAATCGCCATTATTAAATTCAACATGGCGTTAGGTGAGCCCGAGCTTAACAAAAATCTGCAGATTTTGCTAAACTGAAGGGGAAACGCTACTATACATCCTATGTACTCGTAGTTGTAGCCCACTCATGCAAAAACGAAATATCTCCTTTGGAAAGCATACACACTATCCTGAGGAGATAAAAACCATCGTTTCTAAGAATAACCTTCAATTCTTATCCTTAACTAAGTAGTGAGTGAACTAAGTCTAAGCAGTGAACTTTTAAAAATGCGAAATTGATAGTTCTATACAGGTCGCAGTGCTACAGGTGGCACCTGATAATATCCCAAAACCCTCAATATTAGTGTATACATCACCAAAGAGTTCGATAAAAATGTACAGTACACCAAAGATTTTTTAATGTCAGTTGGATTTGAACACGAGACTTTTCGATGTAAATCTGGGCAATAACTACTAAAAAGGATGATAAAATAACTATTGTGTTCCATATTATAGTAACTTTAGTTCTAGTTCCAACGTGAATGAACGTTAAGTTATAAAACGTTAATGTCGTTTTGAAAATAACCTGAGAATTTATGCAGGCAAACAAGCTATTTCGCTACGAGTCCAATGCATTCTACCGTTTTTATGTAACAATACACGAATTCAAAAGCATTCTCGTTGTTTACCTCAAGCGTTTAAAAGGATTAATTTCATATTGTACTGTGTTTACCTTCTTTTTATGTAAAGACTGAAACACGTATGTACATAGTGACATAATTAGATATATTAATTTATTCTATATATTTTGCATGTATTTTGACGGTCTTAGTGGTCTAGTGATTTCGAACATTACCTTACTTTTGGTCGTGGGTGCGATTTCTCGAACGCTGTAAAAACTTGCATTTATGAGTATGATATAACTAATATATGTTTGTATTGCTCTGGGTAATTTCTATGTATATTATGTATCTAATTACAAAAATGTATTAATATCAGTTGTCTAGTACCCACAACACACGTTATGCTTAGCTTGAGACTAGCTTGTGCTATGTGAACTGTCCTGAGATATGACTACCTGATGTTTAGTAGTAAATATTACCTATACATCCCACTACGAACATCATGCCTTCATTTAAACCCTGTGGAATCTCTCATTGGTCGTGATTTAGTAACTATGTCTTACTAATGTGATGTATTCTGGTCCATATTCTGCAAATACCCTATTTTTTTTTATTTAGAGAAGAAATAACCTATATTAATATTCTTAAGCGGACTATAAGAAACTGTATATAAATAGTCTAATCGAAAAAAGATAATTCAGTGATTTTCAGTCGTGTGTACGAATATAACTGTCAGAAGCAACATTGAGCAGTCTACTTCTATTCCTATGCTTCTTTTCATATGCACTTGTATTAAAAAAATAAATGCCACTGATTATTTGCATCACATCTCGTTTTTAGAGCAATCCGCCGGCTCACAAATTGTGCCATAGACTGGAACGCGGATTGTAGAGACGTCACCGAGAGTCACTTCAACGAGGAGAGCATAAGGGGCCACATGCACGTTGTTGACAATGTGTGCGACGACGAGTGGTTCTTATCACGTATGTCTGTTTAGCACGCTCTTTTAACCAACTTCAAAAAACGAGGTAAAGAATTAATTGCAATTTTTTTATTTGCAATTTGATGATTCGAATCCTCGCACGGTACAAATATTTGAATTAATGAGTACGATTGTGTAATCGGTCTGGGTATTTTCGTTATTATGTATGTTATGCATGTATTCACAAATATACACACACATGTATATGTATTTATATCAGTTGTCTAGTATCCATAATACAAGCTCTGCTTAGCTTGGGACTAGATGGCGCTGTGTGAATAATCCTATTAATATTAATAATATGTTCGCTGATTTTTATTACATGTAATTTGAGTTCATTAAGAGTAGTATTTTTTGTATACAAACTTTCGTATATATAATCATTTTTATTGGTCTGGGTATTTTAAATTAATTAAGTATTTGTGTCAGTGGTATAGTACCCATTAAACAAGCTCTGCTTAGCTTAGGACTTAGATGTGCATCCTGAATTATCCTGGTTGATTATTATACCCGTATATTCTATAATATGTTTTGATGTGTCTTCTAATGGTTATAATAAGTATGTTTTATTCTTACAGAATATGATGACTTACCACTCTGTATAGAGGCTACAGAAGACCTATGGGAGTCTTGTTATACAAATTTCAAGATATTAGTTGAAGAACAAAAAAACACGACACACGAATGGACTCATTTTGAAACACATTTCTATTTATGCTGGTCAGTATTTATATGTACTATATTTAAATTATATTGTATTAGTATCTCTATGGAGAAGAAGATTGTTAGTCATGTGGAGTGATAACCCCATTGTTAGCAATGTCAGGATGACCTCCACGTGGTTCCCTCTGAAAACCATCGATATGTTCGGATAAATCCATGGTAAATTTGCCACGATGTGCTAACTGATGAGTATGAGGTCCAGTACCTCATACTCATTTTATCATCCGCCACTGGTACCCCGCCAGCGTAAACCATCAGCACGCGGAACGAATTATTATTTTTATCTTATACTAGTTGTGCCCACGTTTCCACCCTCATAAAATTTATAGCCTATGTAGCATTCTGGTGTAAGCCATATTATTGTAAAGTTTCATTAAAATCCATTCAGTAGTAATTGAGTGAAAGAGAACAAATATTCATCTACACTTACAAACTTTCGCGTTTGTAATATTAATAAGACACTGAACAATTTGTGACGTATACAACTATTGTTAATTTTGTATGAAATAAATTATTCTATTTGTTATTTTGGCAAAGACACAGAGAGACATATCTCAACAGTCAGCGTGTCCAAGGTTTACTTATAACATTGCACTGAGGTAGAAGTCAAACTCTCTAAAACGTGACAAGAATGCTTATATGGAGATAAGAAATTGGATAAAGCAAGATATGGAGAGGGCATATGACACTGTCTAAAATGTACAGATGAAACATTAATTTATTTTAACATAACATGTTCACATTCATATTTCACTCAGTATATTTAGAATCCAACGTGGCAGGGGGCGAGCCTATAGCCATCTCTCGGATTAATTGTTCAAATGATATCGGTGTTGGGTTCATCACAACAAATAAAAAATACTTAAATGACTTTATATAAAAATTATTTCATTGTAGAAAGTCAAATGATATAGGTTGTATTTTATTACAAAAATATAGTAATTCCTACTACTATTGCACTCGTACGAAGAAATTCCTACAAAATGTCTTAGTTTGTAATATATAAGATTGTACATAAGATTGTAACAATAGAATAGATAAGTTTCAAAATGTAAAAATACTTGGAAGGGAGAACACTTATGTACATACATACTTGTTCATAATAATAATTATTCAAAACCAAGTAATAAATGAGTAAATAATAAGAATCTTCAATTTGACTGAAAGTAGAAATTAGAGAATACCCTCAATTCCTACTATTCTTCTATTTGTTCTAATTGTTTTAAATAAACTGACACTTCATACATTCACATAAAGCAGAAACTAAAGTAAGGGACTAATGATAGTGTCATGTTTGACATAAAGATAGACAAATCAATGTGACACTTTGAAAAAAAGAAGATATCAAAAGAAATATTTCGATAGGCATAATATTACAAGTGAAATATTATTTGTCTAGTATTTTTCGTAGTCAGTACTTTATCTTTTACCGGTCCATTTGGTATGCGCTGATTTGAATACATTAAAGATAATATAAATGGTTAGAAAACTTATTATAGTATAATGAATCTTAGTATTATAGACACAAGCGTAAAAATAGTATTTATCTGTATATTATGCTTGTACCTTTTTACGACTATATGAACAAATATAAATTCAATTTTACTATAGACTAGCTGTACCCACGACTTAGTCCAAATGGAATTTATCTTAATTTTTCTAAAATAAAAGTAGCTTAAATTACTCCGTATTACGTCAGCTACCTGCCAAACAAGTCACGTCAAAATTTGTCCAGCCATTTCAGAGATTATCCGGAACAAAGAGACAGACAGATAGACAGACAGACAAAACAGACACTCCAATTTTATTTATATGTATAGATATACGTATATAGAATATCTCACAAGAATTTAGCCTATCTCAAAAAAGCGTATAATTTATTTAGCAGCTAGTTTTCTTAGTTTAAAAAAAAAATATAGTAGTAATAGAAAATTTAGATAGAACAAGCCATTGAAAAATGTTTTAAAACAGCGCTATTGTCTTAGCTTTTCCATCACTACTACGTTATTGTGAGGTTTATTTTTTTCTTTATTTAAGCGCTCGGGCTCAATTCCGCAGATGTACGCTGGACTCGATTTTTGATATTCCAACAAAATGTACCCACGAGCAAGCTGTCACGTTACAGAAATTTTCAGTGATTGTCTCCGAAGGTGACGTTTTTCAGGTGAGATTTCATTTTACCTATTGATGCAGAAAATGTTATTGATACTGAATATGAAATTATAATTTAATATGGGTCTATGTCTATGTAATAGATCTGATGTCTATGTAATAGGTCTATGTCTATGTAATATACATAGACCCATATTCCGATTTCTCTACTCGCCCAGAATTATTACTGAATATGACATTAATTAATTTATATTGTAATTTTGAACCTTGTTAAGATTCTATTGTCAAAAACTAAATGTATGTGTGTGTGTCGAACGCGTGATAGTATGTATGTTTTTTTTAGTATTGTGTTTATGAGCATTATTACAAAATAACTTATCTCTTTTAATATCTTTTTTTATTGTGCCAAATGAATAGAGGAGTTCCAACCATTCCTGTAATTTTCATAAAATGGGGTACAACATTTTTGCATTACCTGTTAATGTACACTACAAAGTCTGTACAATATATCAATACTTTTAAAGTTTCGAAGTTCGTGCCAGTAATAGTTAAAATAAATAAAAATAAAAGTTAGCCATACAAAAAAAACGTAAAACAAATAAAACTCTGCTATAAAAATATTTAAGAAAAAATGTCAATTCATTTATTAAATATAACCAATTGGTTTAATTCCTAATTCACGACTTTGTTTGCCTAATTTCATTTCCCATCATCATATAATTAAATTAGGCATACAAAGTCTATATACGTACGAGTATACGCATTAAGTTTTAAGTGTTCAGCCGATTTAAGCCAAATAGAAGATTTCAACCGCCTTTTTATCTTTTTATTTATTTATCAACCAAAGTTCAAAATGCTATTCGTATCTTTGATATTTAAACACAATTAGTACCTACATACAAGACGATACTTCTTGAATACCAGTCTTCAATCTGTCGTCAATCCTGCGGGATACAATAAATTATATATTTCCTAAAGGAGTACGTAGTGGCGTGGGAGAGAAAATCTAATTTGCAGTTCACTTGGAAACTTGTCGACGTGTCTTCAAAATTTCTTGTGAATTTTTAATATTGTCGCAGAATATATTCTGCAGACTGCTTTTTAAAATATCACCGGATGTTACACAGTTGGCATTCTGTATTTATTTCAGAATATGTATATCGCATTGCGTCATCTAGGTCCAACCTAAATATATGGTAATAGAAGATAACTATAGATATGATATGTATAGTCTACAGACGATCCTACTCGAGTACAACGAGTATTGAAATTAGCCTGAGCCGAGGTTCGAAAGATGTATCCGTCCATAAGCCGATCCATAAATGTAGTATTCCAAAACTGAAAATGAACCTGTGATAAATTTCAAACGCGTTTTTATCCGTAACTTTGGTTTCTTAGTTTTAACACCATTTCAATTTAAGTCTACTCTTTCACGAAGTGACATCTAATTCATACTTTATGAAATATGTTAAAAGCGTCTGCGAGGCTACCATGGTCAGTCAATTCTCCGACGACGGTCTCGATGGTCTAGTAGTTAGCATACCGCCTTACTTCTAATGGCCATGAATTAGATTCCTCAAACAATGCAAATTGTATTCATTGATATGATTGTTTGTATTTATGTATATGAATGTGTGTATTTATGTACATTATGTATCTTTCGGTTAAACATTAGGAGGTAAACGAAGGAGTTTACCTCTCAAAAAGACAGATCAAGGTCAAGTTTTTTTAAATAATCGCGCTCCGCTCAACATGTGACCTGGTGTGTAAACATCACACCGGTAAAAACCTGTACAAACAAATTATTTATTATTTATGTAATTATTTTTTCTCTATGTATAATATGTATGTATTAACCTAATTATTTAGTAAACCTAGTTATTTAATATTTGTGTTTTTACAGGATTGTGATCATAATATGCTATACACGAATTGTCCTGGTGGAGATCCTCGTCCAACACGCGAAAAATTGGCGAAATTAATGAATACGGAATTAACTAATACTGCAATGTCCAATGGAGTTTCGCCAAATCATATTTTTTTTGTGATACCTATTATATATAGTCAATATTAAAATGCTTATTAATATACTATTTTATATTTACTTCAACCCATTTTGTACAGAGGGAAGGGGATTCTTAGTAATGTCGATCATATTGCTAGCAATGTACCATGTCAGGTCGACTTCCACGAGGTTCTCCCTGGAAACCATCATGATAAATTCCTAGTGAATTTGCCATAGTGGGCTAACTGACCTGACCTCATGATCATCTTATTATCCTCCGGTGGTGCCTCGCCAGTGTAGATAGTTAGCGCAGACGGGTGCACCATTCGATTATCATCAATTAAACAAACATTGCATAAAGTTTGTGTAGGTACTACAGTCTCACCTATTTCAGCCGCCAAGCAGCTTGCTTTGTAAGCTATTTCGATTGTAGGGTTCAGATTAGGTAGTGAATTTATAGGAGGCATGACATTACTCCTCTGGAATGTAACGCATGATTGCTAGTGTGGGTGTCACATAAGAACTTGATGTTCGTAGTGTCGTTCATATACATAGGCAATGACTACCACATACCATCAGGTGGGCTGTCAGTTTGATATTCCAGTTAAAATAAAAATATGTTGTGCTTTGATTATGCAATAATTACTGAAACAAAAAACATAAATATCAATTGAATTTCGTTATATACATTATTTAGTGTGAATCAAGTATTCCATTGAACATTACTTTTCACTACCAGTTTAAAAATAAGATTTTAATAAAAAAAGAAAGATCTTTACGCTTGTCAAATAAAACCACAGCGGTAGTTTTTCCTTGCGATTACAACTAATCTGATAAAAGACCTTGTTCTCAAAGCTCTTGAGTTTCACGTAGAAGAGAAAATCCTTGGTTGTCGATAAGAAAGCCCTTATGGGTATGTTGGATAATGCGACTTTAATTCGAGTTCAACAACTCATAAAACGAGGGTATCTTCGATGTATTTAAATGTAGCAACATAGTTAAAGTGTAATTTGTTATAAGTTACCACAGTTTGAGAGGCAACTTGATAAACAAACTCCTGCTGTGAGTTTGTATGAATGAATGTATATTAAATACTTCATTAATATTATACAAGTAATTAGAGATATTACATGAACAAAAGTTATGGTAAATGTTAGCTTTTCAAAATGATTTTATGTTTATTTATTTATTCATTTATTTCGGATATCCATCTCTTATGATGATGTAATCTCGGCCTATTTCGGCCACGGCGACTGTCTTCAACACCGGTTTTGCCGTTTATGTGCTCGCATGTGGCTTATGTAGTCAATTTTGTTTCATATATTCATCCATATTATGTTAATAAACAACTTATAAAGCTAGAGGTTAGGTTAGCTATAGCAATTGATGCTCCAAGCGTTTCTTAGGGTTCTTCGGTCTTATCAGATGTACTAGTACCGAAGATATTACTCCCGTTTAACACTCAATTTAACACTGTGTTTCAATTATACTTGAGGAATGTCACACGCGTTTCGGGCCGTAAGGTTAGGTCTTTGTAACCGTCGTGGTAGAGGAACGCAGGGTACGCAAAAAACAACTACCTACACTTTTGAACAGATAGGATCACGAGGATATACATAGGCTATTTTATATCCCAAAAAATATCTAAAAAGATTCGCCCCTTTCAGATTAATAAAATAAAGATAGGGAATGAAAGTTTGCAGATCAAGTCACGGTTAACAGTTAGTAGAATTATAAATAAGACTTTGTCAGCAATTATTAATAATTATATTTTGAATTTTCATGTTTCATATGGATTGTCACGTTATCAAAATGCAATATCGTCCTATTTATTGACTATAAAGGCGCCTCGCCTTACCACATGACCGTCATTTAGTGTTTATTGCGTCGCGTAATGACGACATCGTACCACGACGCAACTCATATTGCCACGTCATGTGACACAAAACGGGAGTTTTATATGAAATCAAATTCAATGTAGTTACTTTGAATTTATTCCTAGAAATACTTTTTTTTTAATATTATACTGTATTTATTGTCCTTTGTTAATGTGTGCGCAATAAAGAGTTATTATTATTATTAAATACAAAATTCCTGTAAATAGTCTGTTTGGGTACTTCTGAGTCATAAATTTTCTATTTATTTCATAAAAATATAGAAAAAAAAACTATATAAGTTGCAATGTGTTGAGAGATTAAGAGCGTTGGAGCATCGGGACTTATCACAATCGACTCGACCACAAAGCAATACATAACGTATGTTTTAAAAAAAATATTTGGGCATTTAATCAGTTCTTTAGTAAATATATTACAAGGTCGCAGTCTCAACTGTTCTGGGTTATATAATATAATATTTTCTTCATAGAAATTAATTTAATTTTAATGGAAATATCTTGATTATACAACCCATTCGCAATGCTGTTTCAGTTAAGTAACAGAGTCCTACCTAGTTTATTCTATTATCACCTATTCTAAAAAGAAAGATTTAACATGTGTCGTAATAGAAAACTGCTACTACCTCGGCTAAAGGTATACAATGATTATAAGATGAGCATAAAGTCAGTTCAGATAGCCCATTATTGTATATTCACCAGAAATTAATCACGATGGTTTCCAAGGAAACCACTTGTCGGCCAACCTGACATGGTACATTGCTAGTAATTGATTCACTAGGTCCTTTGGCTAAGTCCCTTTTTTAATAGAGTTATAAAAAAAATCTTCTTTCAATCACATTTCATCTACATATTTTTTTATACGCAGATCCTTACACAGATTTATGTAATTAATTTGGTAAAATTTTTGGTTTCACCTTTTGTCCTTTTGATGATAAGGACAAAAGGTATTGTGCTTTTAAAATCCACGTTATTGCGTCTATCCTGCTGTAATCCAGAGTTGCTTAAGTGATGAGGAGTGTTTGTCGACCGAGGTGAAGTGGAGATCCCTATCAGCCTACACCTGAGCTTGTAGCCGTGTGGTAATCTACTGACAAATTTTATGTAGTGAAACTCGTTGTTAATTTTTTTTATTAAATAATAATAGTAATAATAAACTCTTTATGATATCATTTATAAAATATCATACTAATTCCTTCAGCTATAGTTATGTAAAACCTTAATACACAAACAGATAAACAGCAAAAAGACAATTCTGAATAAAACCTATTTTATAAAATTACGGAGTGACTTCGGAGTTTGAAAAAAGTAGATGAAGGAAACAGAGATAAAACACCAAAAAATTACCTATTGATACGGCAGTAGACTCGCCCCTTGCCATGTTTGACTCTAATATACTCAGAGAAAGTGTTGCATTCTAAATTGCATCGATCATTTAAAATGCCTCTGACTACCCTATATGCGATTTATTATCGCATGATGATGATAGCAGATAGGGTATGCATGATGCATAACTGTGTTTTGTTTTGTTCGTGTAAATTATTTTTTAACACTTACTCGTGTATTGTTAGTATTAGAAATGTTTTATGATTCTACTGGGAAACATCTCGCTGTTATAGGCGCGTTGTTATTGCAGCTGCTACAATTCTGAAATAATAATGGTGACCTGCCTAACTTTGGGTTAGTATTACATTTAGAGTTTCGTAGCTCAGGTCAAAATCAAATTAATTTCATCATATTTACCTATCATCAAGGCACCCTTATAGGTAAGACAGAGAGATTCTGGTGTTTTTTTTTTCTAACTTTCCAGCATTTCCGAACCCTTCAAGAAATGATTTTATTCCTTCTTAAAAGGCCGGAAATGCACTTGCAATTTCCCTGGTGGTTATTCATGGGTGGCGGTAATCACGTACTGTTAGATGAGCCGCAAGCTCGTTTGTCCCCTGTGCTATAAAAAATACTATTCTAAACCTATTGGCTACAGCTGGCCTTTATAGCTTCACCAAACGATAGACCGCGAGTGCAGATGGCACTCCAAACCCGTAACTTATGGAGCTGCTGATGGCCAATTTCTGCCTGATAGATACAACTTTAGTCCGCTAGGAATTCGAGCCAGCTCACACCAGTCGTAATTTCGATCTCGCTAGAATTGGACAGGGATTGATCGGAGTGGAGATTCAAGTGCTATTGGTTTCTTCTTCTTATATACATTCCTTGCTTTAACAATCATAACTCGATATCAGAATGGAGATTAGATTTAATAGCGATATTTATGTAGATAGATGAAATATTTATTTAAATATTAGTCAGTTAATTAACTCTTTTTTTTATTTAAATAAGTAGCTACTAGTGATGAATAAAATTATTATATAGACTATGTTATTTTTATCAATGAAAATGAAAATTTTTCTTTTATTTTATTCCGGCTTTCTTTCTCTTTTAGCACCCTGGTTTATTCCTAACTCGTAGGGAGTTTCATATAACATTATTTCAAACCAGGTTCATCAGTAACTAAGGATCAACTCCGTCAAGGAGGAAATCTCACAAACAATAAAAAAATATAAAACACAACTGGACAGATATCTGAATAAGCTCGGTATTCGGCTGACACTACCAGATTATATGTCACGTCTTAAAATACGAGAACGTAAAATACTACACTTCAACAACCTAGCACAAGATAGAATATGTGTCTGGATTTCCAATGGAGATTCACCTCTCATGAGATTTTGCAACGGTCAACGAATCTATTTATAGACTGAAAGACTTAATGCATGAAAAAAAAATAGTTTTGTAGTGATCAATTCTTATATGAAAAAAAAATCGTGGTTCAATGAGGTAAAAAGGTTTTTCTTCATAAATGTAATCAAAAATTAATTGCGAATACTTTTTCTATTGCTTGCCTTTTTCTCGACCGTCGAAACATGTCGAAGTTTTAATTAAACTCCGTTAACACCACTCCGTAACCTTACATTTTTTGTGAGCATAATAATATTTATTTTTATTATACGCAAAAGAATTATTATTTTATATTTTTCACGCATTTGGATATATAGATAAATAGCTATTACGCGCGAATTGGTGATTTTAGGTTTAGTAATTATAGTGATTTTGTTTAGTAATTATAGGGGACAATACTGGCCACCAAGAA